TCAGGTCCCTTCCGACCCTACAAACTATGAAACTATGAACTAGAGCTCATTGAACAAGCTTTAGTTCTAGCACCCCCACCACCAGTTTGAAGCACAGGACACTGTATACATGTGACACTGCATGTGCTTTAATTAGAGTGGTTCTCATAGCCACTCCAATTAAAGTGCCCCTCGCCTCCACCCCGGAGCCCATGTCTAGATGCTCTAAAATTTCATTCAACAATGGAGTTCATGTCCTTAGAAGAATGACCAATAGCCCACCTCCTAGAAATGTTATGGAACGTTGGTTTCAAGGTTCCCCAGAATCAGTAATAAATCTAGGATTTTATGGTTTGCTACATGTTGATATATCAAAAACAGTGATGCCAAACAGGCTTGCTTAACTGCTGCAGGGACAATGTGACAATCAAATGCTCTGTGTAGTCCATGTCACTGAAATTGTTCCTCTCTCTAATATATGCAAATCTAAACATAACTTGCAGTCTTATGTATATGCCAGCTAATGTATTTGTTACAAAAATAGAGGGTCCTTCTCCAAACTCAATTCTGTGGTTAGTGCCAACAGTATTAAATAAGGGCAGGGTATAGTTTAGTAGTTGGTCTACACTCAGGTTTTCCCTGACTGAACTGAAAACTAGATTTAGATACATAGGTGCATCATTCTAATGTGGATGCGGTATTATTGATAAAAAGATGTTTTGGTATCCAGGCCATATTTACCAGTATAAAATACCTTTCTATCTGTACAGATACCTTTCTTTAAGTAGGTCCATTTAGTTGTCAGCAAGATCTGTGCAAAAAAGTGAGGGTAGATAAGTACTAAGAGGCTCTCAAACCACACTCAAGCAATTGGTGTCAGATCAGATGTGAAATTGTGGGTCTATCTCACAGCACTGTACCAGTGTGCAAAACCTGCTGCTGTAACTTATCGAAGGAAGCCATTTATGTCCGTCTTGAAATATCAACTAAAATTTCTTACTATTCTGGCTTGCCAACATTTTAGTTACCCAACTAACAAGTTATGTTATGAGTCAAATGGCAAAAGTTTAATCCTATTAAAATATGTACATTAGAGTTCTTAATGATCCTAGCAGCCCAAAGGAAGTCCATTCCCTTTTGTAAGGAAGGCACCAAAAGGGCTGGAAGACCCCCTTGGCTCAAAAGGGAAGTCATTGACCTCCAGAAATTTAAAAAGTGAAGCTTATAAAGGATGGAAGTCAGAAATTACCACCGAAGAGGAATACTCAGCAATAGCCGGCACCTGTAGGGATCAGATTAGGAAATCAAAGGCACAAACTGAATACAGATTGGCAACTGGAATCAACGACAACAAAAAGTCCTTCTTTAGATAGGTAGGAAGTTGGAGAAAAAATATGGGGAACATAGGGCCCCTGATGAACAAAATGGGACAGCTGATAACTGACACTCAGGACAAAACCAAACTCCTTAACGAATACTTCACAACGGTATTCCTCCAGGCCAAGGGTGTCGGAC